CCCCATAAATGCATTTATTTGATTTCAGAAAAGTATAATCCTCCACGTACCACTAGTGGTATGTCTACCTCAGTTTGAGAACCAGCAGACTTAGGGAAAAACAGTTTACATGTATCAGAGTTATGTAACCAGGATATTAAAAAAAGTAACTGTTAACCTTAGGGTCAGCCAAGAAGCTGCAGCTATGATATTTGACCCTTGGCCAGATGAATATACATTAAATAAATCATTCTTCTGTCGTCCTCTATGCCAGGCGGATTCACAGAGACAGTGACAACAGCTGAATGGTGCTTCTACCCTGGAATGTAACTTAGACAGATGGTGGTGATTTCATTATATCTAAAATGTCAGGTCAGCAGAGGGGATGAGGGAAGGAAAGGTCATGACAGGAAAGGAGGAGAGGAAAAGAGAAAACATGAGAAGAGATGCTCATGCTAGTTTGTTCCATCTTCCACTCCACTCCAACTGTCATATTTCTTTAGTTTGGATTGTCTTTTACTTTCTGTTATGTCACAGCCTCTTTTCTGCCTTTCTTCCTCCATCATTATCTCTCACCATCGCTCCCTCTCCTCTCTTCTCTGCCTCCTTCCCTCTTACTTTTCCGCCTTGGAAAGAGACGATCCAGAAATAAGGCCATAAATAAGAAATCAACGGCCTTTTCTGTCCCACCACATTACAGGCTTTTGATGTATGCTTTCTGCAGTAGTATTACTCACCGGCCTCAAATCAATGCTCTAATCTTTCCCCCTGCCAGATTGATTTCCGTGGCAGTGACAACAGCACAGAGAGGTGCTGAACAGATCTGTACACTGTAGGCCATTTCCCAAATACTAGCAAAATAGTGTTATATAGGCACAGCTGCTTAGGCAGATTAAGTAAGATGCCAGATATCACATAGGCACAGAAGTGTGAAAGCATAGTATACCTGATTTCCAGTTTTTGTGCATCTTTAAAGGTCCAGTGTGTAACATTGAGGAGGATCTATTGTCAGAAAAATGGAATATAATATTTATAGGTATGTTTTCATTAGTGTATAATCACCTAAATATAAGAATCATTGTGTTTTTGTTACCATAGAATATCTTTTATCTACAGAGGGAGCGGGTCCTCTTGTCTGTCATGTTGAACTGCCAGGGGTGGAGTGAGGGGTTGGCTTCTGGGGCTCCAGCCCTTAATGTTTTCTGAAAAGCCCCAAATCTTTTTAGGCTTTATCAGTAACTTCAACTTTATGTCAGTTTCCCTCAGTCTCTCTGACTGGACCGGGAAATTGATGTAGCAGTGTGTAGGATTTAGTGGCATCTAGCAGTGAAGTCGCAGATTGCAACAAACTGAACACTGCTCACATCGTTATATGACGACCAGGGAATGAGAACAGGCTGTGAAGTGTGTAGTAGAAACAGCGGTGTCTGTAGATAAAAATGGTAAATAAGGTTAAAAAAACATATCAATTGTTATTTTCAGGTGATGATGAAAACATACCTATGAATATTATATTCCATTTCTGCCAATAGATCATCCTAAATGATACACATTGAACCACTAATACTGTCTCATCCACTTGGGGGTTGTGTGTGCCCCCACAGTGTTGTGACCTTGCAGACAGTCTGCAGAAAAGAGGAGGAAAGGAGAGCAGAGACAATTATAATATATCTCTATGTTGTTTATCCTACTATGCTATTCCGCAAAGAAATGTAATATAATTTAAGTAAATGTTTTTCTGTTGGCCTAATATTGAATTCAAAGAATTCAAGAGCACATTTGCTTGGTATTGTTAGTGTTTCTTTATTGTGGCAGAGAACTCTACTCCAGCACAGTTTGAAAAAAATATTTGTTCATTATTTCTTTCCTGTGTAACTATCATGTTTTTCCTAAATGATGTACATATTTTTAAGCATTCTATTGATTCAACTGACTCAAAAATAGTGCCTATAGCTACTGTAAATTGGAAAAGAAATCTCCCCTGGGGCATGACCTAGCCCCGCCAAGCTCTGGCTTAAGCCCTGATGCTGTGCAACCTCTGGCTCCAACCCTGTGGACCGCCATGTTTCTACAATAGCCCTGGATGGACAAATCAAACACTGGCTCTCGATAGGGCCTGTTGCATTTTTGAAAGTTTCGCAGCCACCAGTTAGTTTCTCCTATGCGCTTGGAGGGTGAGGCAAGGGGGTTTTAATCTACAAATACACTGCTAGAGGCCACTATATCCTACACACTGGACCTTCAAATTCAGGTTTTAGATAGCAAAAAAAAAAAATTGGCATTTAAATGTATCATTTTTCTGTAGTGATACCTGAGGCGGCTTCTAAATTTGGTTGCACATCTACAATTTGGCAACAATTTTTGTGCTCATTCAAATACATTGCATACCAATTGTGTTAAACCTCCATTCATTTATTTATTTATTTATTTTTTTTTTTGCCATTTGGAGGCAGCACAGAAAGTTGCAAACACAACATTGACTAATTATCACTTGATGATAAAATTTGCACATTTAAAAAAGACTTTGTGTCACCATTCAGCAGCTATTAGCAAAATACATATTGGCACTATTGGATCCTGATAAGCACCAACATTGAGACCTAACTCTCTCAACAAGCACATACACTCCTTAAAAACTGAATGATTCTATCTACCTCTACTCTACATTTTACATTCTGTGCCTTGGTTTGGTTACCTTTACTGCACAAAAAGTAGGTTAGTTTGTGACATAATAACAAGAAGATGCCGCTTTTCTTCCATTGGAGGGTTCAAGCTTTGAAAGGGTCTGGCTATGACATGAGATGGGTAGGAGTGAAGAGCAGTTAGAAAAATCACTTTCAATATGTTTGTCCTCTTCATGAAAGCAAAGAATACATTAGATCCCATGACAGACATTGGGCTGTTGGTGTAAGATAGAGGCCCTCTGTCATCTCCACGCTTCAATCTTTACAGTAATCACACTGAGATATTACAGATTCACCTGAAAAAAATATAATGATGTTTACAAGCAACATAGCATCGGTGAATGGGAGAGGCTTGACTGAGTGCTGTGGCTGTTTCCTCACCTGACCCTGTAGTGAGGTTGCTGGCAGTCTGCCTTTTGCTCTCAGGCCGGTCTTGGTCAGGACGACCTCCAACACATTCAACCTGTGAGGGCCTGGAGAGTGGAGTGTGTGTGCATATATGTGTGTGCATTTGAGTGTGCGATGTGTGCCCCTGAGTGGATGAACTGGGTACTGAGGTTATCATCCAAGAGTTTGCTCAACTGGAGACAGACTTGAGGCTCACTGGCCAGGAATGAACCAGGTCAGCTGGAAAACACATATACACACACAGAGAAAGAGAGAGATAGCTGTATTGCACACTGACCTTTACTTTCTCTGCTGTTCTTCAGCTATGGAGCAAAAGGCCCTACTGTGGGCTTAGGACATTTTATACACAAGGGGAATTCAGTGTTCCTTACATAATGCATAAAAGGCATTAAATAATAAGCTTTTATATAAAACTATAGAGCACAAGACACAAATTTAAAGTTTAACATTATATACCTGTATCACCTGGTTTATTGCATGTGATACCCTTCTCTTTCTTCTCTTGTTTGCTCCTGCTTCCTCTAGCTCCCCTGTCCAATAAGGCAATGTAAAATGTATATTGTAAAATGTAATATGTATATCATTTGATAAAAACACGAAAGCAGAAATAAAAACAAGGGCGATCAGAATAAAAGGTTGGAAATGGTCTGTGTCCTCTTTACTACCTTTCCTACAGAGAATAAAAGTGCCAAAGAACGCTTAGATTCTTCTAGGATGCTGTGTCTTTGTGATGTGTAAATGAATGTGAATCATGCATGTGATGTCTTGGCTGATAAAGGTGAATCCAATTATAGTGTGGCACTGAGAAATTCAATTTTCTTGGAATACAGTGAGTAGTGTATTTCCTGTGAGAATGATACAGCTGTGGAAAAAGAGGATCAATACATCAATAATCCCAGCTGTGGTTTTTATACAGAGAGGCTGGTTAGAACAGCGAGTTGCAGTGATGTTATACTCAAGTAAAATTCTAAGTCGAAGCCATGCCAAGTCCTCTACCTGCAGAGTGTGGCCGAATCTGTGGCACTGTTTGTATTAAGGCGACAGACACTTCAGTGTGAAAGCAGAGCCAGACAGACACTCTCTGGGATTTGGACGATGCTGCTCAGTATGAGGTGCCAGCGCAAGCAGGGATCTCCATAAATGTTTGCTCACACTGCAGCCAAAGTTATTATTTATTTATTTTCCTCTCACATTACAGCTGTTGTTTAATCAGTTTAAAAAGCAAAAGGTTGCAGAGGGTCTCAGATTTCCAATTTACAATCTGGACCACGAAGGTGCATTATCAGATCTGAGGCACCCGACGCTGTGGAGGACAAGATACGACATGAATGAATTGACTGATTGGTTTGCTCTATGTTCCTAAGTACCAATCAATACCCAAAGGCACACACTGAAAGGTGTTGAAAACTGGCAGAAATGTGCGCATATAAATGGATTTTTGTTTTGAAAATGGCTGTCAAGTCATATTGCCACTGAATACGGGTTACATACAAGACTAGTGCTATGTAAGAATGCAACAATTTCTTATTCAGGATTATTCATCACACCTCTTTACAGGTTGGTTGTTTTTATTCCTCTAGGATCTGACGCATTGTTGTGTTAATATCAAAGCAGTACAGTCCAGGCACAATTTGAATCATGGATTCAAGTCTGACCCTTGGCCGCCCTTTGCTTGCATTTACAGCATTTACAGCAGTATTTATATCAGTATAAGATCTGCAACATGCATTACATTGGCTGAGCGGTGAAATACTAGAATTCTTGCGAGTTTGAAAGACAATTAATCACAAACTATAGAAATGACAAATTAATATATAAACTCTGACTGTGTTATGTGCTTACGTTGCAATGACATGACACATGAATGCAGTAGTGGAGAAAATCAAATAACAAACAAAATTCAAATCTTTTTTGACTGTGTTTCTACAGATGACAGCAGAAGCCATTCTTCGCCTGGTCAACGATCCTGTGCTGCCATTCTACCCTCTGGACATTGCCCTGGATGTTCAAAACAAACTCAAAGGTACCACTGATGATGACATAATGGTGGTGGTGATAAACTTTATTTAATCTAGTAGTCTAACTGAGATTGAGATCTCTTTTTAAGAGAGACCTGAGAAGACAAACACACACAAGATTCATAAAAAAATATAATATAAAAATAAATAAATTGCCAAGGGTGATGGACAAATCTAGCTTGAAAGCAGTTTGCGGTTTAATCCATTTAAAAGGTGCAGAAGTCTTGAAACTGGTTCTGGGAAGATTAGTCCATACATATGGAATAACGAATATTACATAGTTACTGGATTGTGTGTAGTTACAAGATGGCAAAAGAGATATGAGGTAGCATGGATAAATATCGGATAAAATTCAGATTTTTTATTTCTTCTTGTCAGTCAGGAATTTCATCTAACTTTGAGACACAGAGCAGGGATGACTACGATGTGTGAAATTACGACACACTGTGCCATCCGATGTCTTCAGGCCTGTGGTAAAATTTTTTACAGCAATGCAGTTGCATACAAAGTAAATGGAAAGATGTGAACAGTTAGTTAGGGTTAGGGTTAGTT